TGGTCCCAAAATTGATCCCTGAGGAACTCCACTAGTAACCTCCTTCCAGCCTGACAGTTCACCTTTCAGCATGACCCATTGTAGTCTCCCCTTTAGCCAGTTCCTTATCCACCTTTCAATTTTCATATTGATCCCCATCTTTTCCAATTTAGCTAATAATTCCCCATGTGGAACCGTATCAAATGCCTTACTGAAATCGAGGTAAATTAGATCCACCGCGTTTCCTTTGTCTAAAAACATCTGTTACCTTCTCAAAGAAGGAGATCAGGTTGGTTTGGCAGGATCTACCTTTTGTAAAACCATGTTGTATTTTGTCTCAATTACCATTGACCTCAATGTCCTTAACTACATTCTCCTTCAAAAAATTTTGTAAGACCTTATATACTACAAATGTCAAATTAACAGGCCTGTAGTTAACCGCATCACTTTTCCCCCCTTTCTTAAAAATAGGAACTATGTTAGCAATTCTCCAGTCACGCGGTACAACCCTTGAGTTTACAAATTCATTAAAAATTCTTGCTAATGGGCTTGCAATTTCATGTGCCAGTTCCTTTAATATTCTTGGATGAAGGTTATCTGGGCCCCTGGATTTAGTCCCATTAAGCTGTTCGAGTTTGGCTTCTACCTCAGATGTGGTAATATCTACCTCCATATCCTCATTGCCATTTGTCATCCTACCATTATCCCTAAGCTCCTCATTAAAGACTGAGGCAAAGTATTTGTTTAGCTATTGGGCCATGCCTACATTATCCTTAACCTCCACTCTATCATCAGTGTTTAGCGGACCCACTTCTTCTTTGTTTTCTTCTTATTTATATGGCTATAGAACCTTTTACTATTGGTTTTAATTCCCTTTGCAAGGTCCAACTCTACATGGCTTTTGGCCTTTCTCACTTTATCCCTACATGTTCTGACCTCAATAAGGTAGCTTTCCTTGCTGATCCCTCCCATCTTCCACTCCTTGTAGGCTTTCTGCTTTTTCCTAATCACATCTCTGAGATGCTTTCTCATCCAGCTTGGTCTACAACTCCTGTCTATGAATTTTTTCCCCTTTCTTGGGATGCAGGCTTCTGATAGTTTCTGCAACCTTGACTCGAAGTAAATCCAGGCCTCTTCTGCCTTTAGATCCACAAGTTCTTCAGTCCAATCCACTTCCCTAACTAATTTCCTTAATTTTTTAAAGTTAGCCCTTTTGAAATCAAAAGCCCTAGTCACAGATCTATTTTTGTTCATCCTTCCATTTAGTTTAAACTGAATTAGCTCATGATTGCTTGAACCAAGGTTGTCCCCTACAACCATTTCTTCTATGAGGTCCTCACTATTCACCAAAACCAAATCTAAAATGGCATCCCCTCTTGTTGGTTCAGCAACTACTTGGTGAAGGAATCCATCAGCTATCGCATCCAGGAAAATCTGAACCCTATTATTACTACTAGCACTTGTCCTCCAGTCTATATCTGGGAAGTTAAAGTCTCCCATGATCACACAATTCCCATTAGTATTTACTTCATTAAAAACATTAAAGAGGTCTCTATCCATATCGGATCGCGGCGGGCTATAGCACACCCCAAGCACTGTCCCAAGGGAGGCTCTAGTAGCTTTCTTCCCCAATGTGATTTTTGCCCAGACAGACTCTGTCTTATCCATTCCATCACTTCTTATTTCTTTACAGTCTACCTCATCACTGATATACAATGCTACTCCACCACCTTTGCCTTTATTTCTATCTTTCCTAAACAACTGTACTCCAATTATGACTACTATTCCACCATGTTTCTGTTATCCCTATAATATCTGGTTTCACTTCCTGCACCAATAGCTCTAGTTCCTCCATTTTGTTACCTAGGCTCCTCGCATTAGTGTACAAACATCTTAATTTTTGCTGTTTTACTTCTCTCGCATTCTTTACCCGATTAGGCACAGACTTCTACCGCCAGTATCACCTATTAGACTGGTATCTACACTACCCTTCCTTCTTATGTCCATTCTCCTACCCACGGCTGTATCCTTTCTTACTTCATTTTCTTCCTTCTCAATGTTAAAATCCGGTATGGAGCTTACCTGGACATCTCCCAACCATCTCCCCTAAATTCCTAGTTTAAAGTTCTCTTAATCAGTTGTGCCAGCCTCCATCCTAGAAGTCTATTTCCCTCCCTACTCAGGTGAAGTCCATCCCAAGAGAACAGTCCTCTGTCCATGAATGCTTCCTAGTGGCCAGACATTCCAGAGTCGTCCTTATAGCACCACTGCCTGAGCCATCAGTAGTATTTCATCAGGTTAAAGGTGGTCCTTTTCCCACAGTAACCTCTTGTTCCTTATTTTCAACACACCTTATGGTCCCCAAGGCATTCCCAGTGCTTCTACTGACTACAGATAATGTCTGGGAGGAACTTTTTGTGGGCTGTCTCAAGGATAAGTAGCTTTTTCTTCCTGTCTCTTATAAGAGGTTGGAAGTTTACCTTCCATTCTAGAAGATACCATACTGACTTTTACCTCAACACAATCTAAGACTCAGTAACTCAATTAAAAACATTTAATAAGAATAGTTAGTGAAAATCACTATACCTCATATTTTCTGCAGTGAAAGAGGTAGGAATATTATGGATACTGCCCAGTTGATTACTCAGCTTTGCTTTACTTTGTCTGGCATGTGGAGGGGAAAGTGTATTCATGTAATTAGATTTTATTGTTATGGATGTGCATGTGAGTCTCATTTCCTGACTTTTGAGCACTTCCCTTTGCAACTTTTAATGTTTTCTCACTATAGGTTTTTATGCAGAACCTGTCTAACACTTAACAGATATAAGAGTGGGGTTTGTGGGGGGGTGTAAATAAAACACTTTATATAAACGGATCTGTCTATTATATGTATTATTATGTTTTGTGATAGTGCCTGAGGGTCAGAACCCCGTTGTGCTGGGCACTGTAAAAACACATAACAAAAAGATGGCCCCTCCCCCGCAGAATTTACAATCTAAGCATTAGACCAAAAACAAAAAACAAAAAAAAACCAGACAAGTGAGGGAGCACAAGGAAACAGGAAGAAAATACTGGTTAACATTAATAGATTCTAAGGCCGAAAGGTCTGATTGTGATCTAGTCTAGTCCAGTAGTTCTCAACCTGTTTACTACTGTGAGCTGCATATGCAGCTCTCTGTGTTATGTGGGCCACATCCACACAATATATATACTATCTGTCTGGCCCTGAGGATGTCACATGGGCCGCAGCTGTGTGCTGATTGGGCTGCAATTTGAGAACCACTGAGCCAGTCTGACCTTGCATATAACTTCCCCTAAATAATTCCTAGAGCATGTCTTTTAGAAAAAATCCAATCTTGATTTGAAAATGGACAGTAATGGAGAATTGTTCTCATGGTAAATTACTGTCCCTGTTAAAAATGTATGCCTTATTTCCAGTCTGAACATGATATGAGGTGGTCTCAACACACTAGCTACCTAGCAGTTGTAATGCTTTTTGTAGGCATTACAGCAAAGGAGAGTTTGAAGAAATACAACAAAGTAGTTTTGCGAATTTTATAGGGAGCTCCTCCCATGTGTGAGGGGCAGCATGAGAGAAAGAATGAAGGTGCTTCAGGGTGGATAAAAATGGTTGGTTTGTTTGTTTGTTTGTTTGTTTTAAATCAGATTTTTTTTATTTAAATCGGATTTTTTTGAAGTTCTTTTCCTCAAAAAGCATTTTATCTAAAGATAGTTTTAATTAAGATACATTATAGCTCAAAGATATCTCATAATGGAATAGGGATTATAAATTCTAATTCTATAGTGTGAAACAATATATTCATGTAATCTTTAAGAAAAGTTTTGTAAATGAGTTCCAATAGTTCATGGATTAGGGACCCAATCTTACGGAGTTCCAGAGGCTTCTGTATAGATTATTTAGGTTATTCTTTCTATCTATCCAATGGGACTCAGTGCTCGGTCTAGAAGATACCATTAGAGATGCTTAGTTTTACAGGTCTCAAACTGTGGATTTGTGTCTCCAGAGATGCTGGAGCACAGCAAAAATGTTTTTAAATAAATCAATAAATAATATATAGAGGTGAGAAATAACAGACCTCAATCCTATTGTCCATCAGCAAATTTGTGCACACCGAGTCAATCCTTTAACTCTCTCTAAAAGTACAAAGTTTCAAAAAGTTCAATGAATAGAAGATGGTTGGGGACAGAATAGATCTGGACAAGGAAAAGAAGTCTGAAGATAAATGTGAGACAGAAGGGACAGGCAGTAGAAACAAAAGTGAAACACTGTGAGCAGCATATTCCAGAAGTCTTTTCTGAGTGTAGCCTTCATTGATTTGAGATCTACCATACCATTCTCTCACTAGACGGGAAAACCTATAATGGCAGCAGGCCATAAAAGAGACCCCATTTGGGAATATTTTAATGAAGTTCCTCTACCTGTGGGTAAGACTTCCATGCATGCAAAATGCAAACAGTGCAACAAAGAAATGCAAGGCTGGGCTTTCCGAATGAAACAACATCATGAGAAGTTTTCCTTCTCAGGAGGAAGCTGCATTGAAGACGATGAAAGGAACATCACTTTAAAAAATGTATAGTGTGTACCTTCTAAAAATGAAACCTACATCTATCTCTGAGTTATGTGAAGAATATGCCTCTCTAAGCCCTTCACTCTCTAGCAACCAGAAAGGGATTGTAGAGGTCTTCCCCTCTCCCTGCAGCTTCCTTCTCATCTGGGCTTTCTCCCTTCATAAATTACCCAGCTCCTCCCATAGCTGGGATTCATCCTTAATTGGATCTGGCCCATGATGCAGATACAACCAGGTGTGTTAATTGGACTCTCATCCCCACATTAACCCTTCCACTACCAGTGTGGAGTAGATGTCCCTCACAGTAGTATGTAATAGATTTTTTGTTTAAAAAGGGGGGGGAGGGTAAATATTATCACTACTTCTCTACTCCAATATGTTAAGTAGCACTTTTGAGAATTTGGCTTTTGTGACTTGTAACTTCTTTTGTAGGCTGGATGCATCACACCGTGGATCAGCTAGGAGACAAAGCAACCAAGGAAAGCTATGCTATTCAGTATCTTCAGAAGTCCCTCGAGGCAGATCCTAACTCTGGCCAGTCCTGGTATTTCCTTGGAAGGTGAGAGAACTGGTGGTATAGCAACTGTATTTAAGGCTGTGTCATGTTTTTTAATAAAGCTTGTTTTGAGAGGCTGTGGTTGAATTGAAAATATTCTCAACAGTGTGAGAGCTATCATGAAAATGTCAGTTTGGGAGTAATTTTCCTTTAAAATAAATAACATCACATATCCTTAACTTGAACAAATGGGAAAAATTATGAAACTGCTCAAGTCCAGCTTTGTTATTTTGAGGGAAAATATGCTATCTTGGAAAGATATTTAAGTGAAAGTGCCTGTGCAATAAATGTTTTCATTAGAAATTTAGTACATAATTAAATAAGCAGGCAGAAAATATTCTGTACATGTGTGCGAAAGTGTACATGATTCCTTTAATGCCTTGAATGCAAATGCCTCAGATGTTGTCATGTATTCTCCTCTGTCTAAATTGCCTGCAAAAATACTTGCATTTTTCTTTGCATACTTCCACATTCTCTCACTTTTCTGTCTTTAATGTTGTTCTCCCTTTCCACATACATGTGCTGTTGTACAAAAATCTTTAAAAGTTTTTCTGTACTGTATATATTATAAAAAACAAACGATATTATATATAAACTTTAGACTGGAATAGCTCCGATGTAGCCATTTTGACTTCCAAGATAAGTGGTCCATACTTTAATAATTAACTCTTGGCCTTGTAAGCTTCCTTTTTTTTTTTTTTTTTTTTTTTGGGGGGGGGGGGGTTTTTTTTGTTTTTTTTTTTTTTTTTTTTTTTTTTTTTTTTTTTTTTT